GACAGAGGTCCAAAATTTTTCGGATCTACTGACGCGACCGGCTGCGGCTCGATGCTCTCAGTGAATCGGTGCCTTCTTATCATCCCTGATGTCGGCTTCAAGTCGGTTGCAGTTTCACCAGTCGACCCATTCTCCATAACCACATGTTAGACTTTTTCGAAACATGATTCATCTGAAACATGGATTTTTTTTTAAGGGAGCTTACCATTTTTCTTTGGACGGTAGGTAGGTTATAAGTAGTAATTGTTCTTATACTCTATCAGTTAAGTATAAAATACATCTGTACCATTGCATGACATTTCGACAGACACGTTAGGTCCGGACAAGTGAGGGGATATCTGAATCGCAAAATTATTAGTGGAATCGTTATAGTCGAGGAGTTGAGTCCCTTCACGGAATGAGCCCCACTTATGTCGACAGGTTGTACGTGTTTCTCTCTGACTTATGTGTAATCTTAGTAATCCATCCATGTTTACGCACCGAGCCGCAGCCGGTCGCGTCAGTAGATCCGAAAAATTTTGGACCTCTGTCCATGGACGGAAGGAGAAGAGAGAAGAAGAGATGAATTCGTGCGGTTCGTGTATGGAAAGGTACAAGCGAGTCACGCTTGTTGCGGAGCTCATAATTAAAGGGGGAAAAATTTCAGTTGACATCCTCGACCGATTTTGTGAATTCAAGTTCTTTCGAGGGATTTATCTCAAAATCTGTTTTTTATTTATTTTTGGCAAGGTATTTATTTTTCATTTTATTTTTTTCCTTTCGAGTAAGTTTTTTGGAACTTTTTCATGATTATAAGTCTTAGTGGACCTTGGGAATTCATCAAAGGTTTTTGCCTATCTTATACTTTATGAAAAGGAAGTGAAACGTCAATTTCCTCGACCGGATTTTTTGCTCGGAAAACGTTTTTGAGGGTTTTTGTAGTTTTCGTCTTCTACGTAAAATTTTGAAGAGATAATTTGTGGTTTTCTCTTGTAGTTCAGCAGTGGCGACGCGTGAATGATCGATTATCGATATTTCCCCATTTGAAGCTATGGTAAAGAATCTATTATTACGGTGTTCGTCGTGAACACCCCGTTGATCGATTCTTTTCCATAGGTTTAAATGACAGATCAATCGATATATCGCAAAGCACGCCACGCCATTGTGGTTTAGACCTTCTCTAATGACCCATTTCATCGTCGATATTCGACTCACCTGACAGGTGAGCTTGAGATCGCTATTCGAAGGTTTGCCGAATTTTGCAATAAAATAATACGCTTTTGTAATCAATGTTTACCGAAATGGGGGTCTGAGTCTCCGTTGGATTCGACAGTGACGGTCGGAAAACACGTAGGCGTGGTTGAGACGACGGCCGTGTCCCCGACATCAAAGGCGGGAAAGCGATCCGCCGCGGTATCATCCGGCCGGATATTATTTCTTCCCCGTTCGAATCGGGAGCTCGAAGTTTCCCGTGCTGTGAGGAAGAACGCCGTAAGAGCCTTGTGACGTCGCCAAGATTCCCTCGATAAAAACCGAAATTACCGAGGAATTTGTGAATATTTCTCCCCAAAATTCTTGGAAAATATCGCACGCACTTTAATCAAAAATATCTTAAAATTTAAAAGAAAAATGTGCGGTGAATGTCGTCAAAAATACATGTTTCATCAAGGGAAATTTGGCAACTCTCGAATGCTCATACGGCGTTCTTGCTTAGCGCGGCAGTCCTGTTCCCCAGCTGCGAGGAGGGTCAAACTTTGATCAAACAGTTTTTATTTATCAAAGAGGCGAAAGTTATGCATTTCCTGTCGGAGCACCCGTTGTTAGCATGCTCACCCTTGTTACTGTCGGATCGCGGACACGTCACGCACGGGTTCAGTGGATATTCGATTATCGATGTTTCTCCATTTGAAACTACGATAAAGAATCGATTGTTAAGACGTTTTTGGCGAGCACCCTGTTTATCGATCATTTTCTGCGGGTTTAAATGACTGATCAATCGATGTATCGCAAAGCGCGCCACGCCACTGGGGTGCGATACTCCCGTCGCACCGTTCTATTTTTGCTGAGCGTGTTCGATTGAGGGTTTTCAGCATTTTTTTCTGGGAGAGGAAATCCTTTGCTCCATAATCACGGTTGCATGAGGAATAAGATGGAAGGAAGAAGACAGGGTGAGAATGATGAAGAACTTTTACCGATGAGACTTTTTTCAAAACGAGAAAAAGAGTTCGGTCCTGAATCGTAAGTGGAGAATTTACAGGTGTCTCAAAATTGATGAATTTTGTCTTCGAGATTGTGAGTGAACCGAACAAGAAGACTGTGTATGCCGCATACAGCTGGCGCTTAGTTCCGTTTGGTAGAATGTAGAGTTCTGCTTTTCCATTTCCCCGAAGGTACACTCGCCCACTTTTACATTACTTTTTACCCAGTTTCCTACAGCAAACCCCATATTTTCAATTCGTCTTTGGTTCCGCTTAACAGAAATACGTCCAAATTTGAAAGCTATACTGTCGTGCTGCGGAAGATCACCGTAGGAGCATTTGAGAGTTGCCACATTTCCTACGATGAAATTTGCATTTCGTAGGAAATTTATGAAAATTTTGCTTTAAAAGTTTCAGCAGCTTTAGATGACACTGCGATCAAAATTATCTGAAAAATTTGAAGAAAAATATTCATAAGTTCACTAGAAAATTCGTGTTTTATCAAAGGAAATTCGGCAACGCCTGAAGGCTCATATGGTGTTTCCTCTTAGCAAGGTAGTTTAGAATATGATATTTCTCAAAACTCTGTACCTACCCTAAAACCTGAATGGCAACCCTGCTTTCTATTGTTTCCAGTCTAGGAATGGTATTAGGAGCAGAGCACTTAATCGCTCACAGGAGGGCGGTCACCATTTCAATCTATATTTCCCGTGCCCCTCTCGGCTCATGGAACCTTGCCAATATCCTTTGAGCCCCGCTTCACAAAAATGACTGAACGGGGCCCAGTGAAACACTCTTATTATTAATTTTTTATTCCTTTTGGCATGCTGTATGCTCCTTCTTCGGCGTATCTCTTCTTAAAAGCGCACGTCATGTCTGGCGAGAGACGGACCGACGGAGAGATGAGTCCAGAGTCGGGCTGAGTGCCCTGTGGGCGGGTCTCCAGGCAATTTCGAGGGCTTATTTGAAAAAGGACGTGGGTGCTACGAGAATTGCGCCGCACTTACGAACATCCTCGAATAAGTCGTTTATTTGACTTCAGGATCGATCAATTCATTTGTGTCTCGTGGTTTTTACGAGCGAACTTATTCTAGTGCGTTGGTTAACGATGTTGTTGTTTCGGGCAAGAATGGGCGGAATTCTCGCCCAATTCTTCTCACATGTTCGGATCGTTCAGGCACGGCAAAAGTGGCAACTACAACCGTAAAGAAACGTTGACCTAGTTGGTCTTTATCTTTTCTCATGAGACGCACACTATGCTCAACACACGCGTTGTGATGGAAAGACCTGTGGTTCGATAACCCACGAAAATTAGGTTCATGGACGTACAAAAACCAAGAAAATACGCTGAGCCGTAGACCGTGATTCAGCACTCTTGGCTGAGGTTTCCAACTTAGCAGCACAGTCTGGCAATCGTCCTTAGTAAATTTTCACTGCACTGGGCGACATTTTTTTCTTGCGTCTCACCACGATCATTTGACATGGTAGAGAGCAAAGTCAATTTTATTTATCCCCATGATATAAAGTAACAGGTCGCAGCCTTATGCTGCCGTGCTAAGGAAGAACGTCGTATGAGCCTCCAGGCGTTGTCTTACCTCCTTAAATGAAAAACGGCTTTACTGAGAAAATTATGGATATTTTTCTTCAAAATTTTCAGACAATTTTGTTTGGTATTTGATCTGAAATATCTGAAAATTTCAATGAAAAATACACAAAAGCCTCTTCAAAAATACATGTTTTATCTGGTGAAATTTGGCAACCCTTAAAAGTTCATACGGCCTTCTTCCTTAGCACGGTAGAATGCTACATATGTAACTTATGAGATTGCTAGTCAGAATGCGACTTAAAGTAAGCAAAACCATGACAAATTATGGCTTTCAGACTCATGTTTGCGGCATCATAATTGAATGGAAGGCTTCCACGGCTAAAATGAGCTATTTAACTTTTTTTCAAACTGAACTATTAATGAACGATTTTAATTGAGCATAAAATTCACTCCATCAAGAAAAGCTGAAAGCACAGAAATCCAGGGTGAGACCGTTTTCGATCCAAAGATGGGGTTAATACTTCATCTCATCAGTGCCCTCCCTCTTAATGGTCCGATTAGACTTTCTTTTTGAGAGCAGATCGCTCACAGAAATTCCATATTATCTAAAATATTGTCAAAAATTAAAACGCTCAGTTTTTGATAGTTTTCAAAGGTATTTCTTTGAAGTCATCGCGGTTGTCTATTTCATCGTCAAAAATAATATTATTCTGGTTCAGAATAAACTAAGTGAAATGTGCCTCCAACTCACATGCGTCTATGGTATTTTACAGTCAACTAGAGTGAAGTGAACCAAAATATAGTCGAATTTGACTCAAAGTGACTTAATCTAATATTCAACAGCATGAGAACAGAATGTTATGATTCTTAAGAGCATATTCAAAGATTGTCATCGATACTTTCGATACATAGTTACAAATATAGTGAACTGAGGGGAATCACATGGTATCTGAGCGATTCCATCAATAAATAAAAAAATAGTAAATCATTACTGTCGTGCGCTAAGGAAAAACGCATTATGAACCTTCAGGCTTTGCTAAATTTCTTCCGATAAAATACAAATTCTCAAGGAAACTGTTGGATATTTTCCTTCCAATTTTTCAGAGAATTTTCCTCGCATTTCGATTTAAAGTATGCGAAAATTTCAAGAAAATTGATATCTTCACCCTAAAATGACTGCTTTATTACTTAGTGCGAATTTTGCTGGAGGCTTTTACGGCGGTTTTCCTTAGCGCGGCAAATTAGGTAACAGCGATTCGGATTGTAGAATGTCTTACCCGGTGCCATTGAATCGCCCGATGTTTAGAATACGATGCACTTGGATTTCGACTCTCTGACCAAGATCAGGTCGCAAAAGATACCAGCATGTTCCGGGTCCTTCCAGAGAGGGCGACTTGATCTGACCGTAAGTTTTGTTCGACTGAGCAGCAATTGTGGATGCATCAATCGTCACATTACACACTGGAACAGAGTTGAATTACGCTCAAATAAAATACCTATTACAAAAGCATCAATCATCTACCCCGTTTTTTTTTTCTAAATATGTTGATATAATTATTCAAAAAATGCATAAAGGTAATACTTAATTAGTGAAACTTAACTTAATAAGACTCCATGACTGCGTGAGGACATTATTTCGGGGAAAATTAGCTGTGTGTTATTGTATCGTTTATTCTTAGTTTCTAGGATATCTCTCATTTTGTATAGTATGTTCCGTTCCACCGTTTATGTCCGACATTACTTACACCGTTTATGTCCAAAACTTTACAGTTTATAATAAATTATCATGACTATATAATAAACGGGAGAAACTTAAGTCTTAACATAGCACATTGCAAAGTCCTAGCTCACTCGCGGTTCAAATAATATTGGTTTTATGGGAGCCTGCGTTGCTTTATTACGACTTAGCGATTTTGAACGAGCATTTTATTCAGCGTTCCACGATACAAATTGATGAGACATTTACTAAGCATTTAAATTGCGGTCTATTTCCAGTTCTAATGCAATTATTATGATATGTATGAAGTTGAAGTATATTTTATCAAAAATTGGAGCAAATGGCTATTACTGCAATAGTACACAGTGGTGCCGTGTGTTTTAATACTTTTTCATCCCTTAGCCTTCCGAGAAAATGTCTGGTTACTCAAAGGAAGCGAAGACAAAACCAACTGACAAAAGCCAACAAAAAGAATAGGTCCCGCTCACAATTTCCAGCGCATGTCCAAACAATTCTCTACGGTTCTGACCACTGCAACTGAAGTTTGAATGAAAAATAAACATTTCCTTTTAAGTAGAGCAAACAAGGTTTGGGATTCCTACGAGTGAGTATTTACTCGTGTCGAATAAATAAAGCAAGGGCTAAAGACTCGATTCGCTTGGTAGGCGCTCAGCGCCTTCTGACCTCGCTTCATTCTTTTCTTATGTAGTTGTATCGAGAATTGACGACGCTTTTATGTATACACTTTATTATTTCTCGCCGAGCAAATGGAAACAGAGTATTTTCTCGGAAAAAATAAATTTCGGATGCGTAAGGCTCTCCACACTTTCATGATCAAATAGGCGAAGTTCGAGGAATGCTTATCTCCAATAATTAATTATGACGTCCCAAATAATCGCTGAAGTTTGATAATCAATCAGAAAACCCACCAATAGTTTTCTTTCGGAATTTTTTTTTAAAATTTTCTACACTGGTTCTAAAATATTCCCAAAAAATTGTGAGGAGATACTTAGGTTTTTCTTTGCTAAACGATTGGAGGTTTTGAAATGCGCTCCAAAGAAGATACATATTTTTCAATTTTAGTCATCGTCATAAAATTTCTGACAAACTCAAGTAACGACTGATAAAAGAATAATAAGAGCTAAAGATGGGCATTGTGGTGTAAATGATGGTAATTGTGCTAATGTACTTAAAAGAAAGGAATTAATCGCGCTAACTCTTCGTGATATTTACAATAAAAATCGGTATCGTATCGATGATTAAAGTGCGAAATCGCGTATCTCCATTGCGGTGTTTATAAATCTCCGCTCATAGTTTATTCTTTCGAAGAGGAACAAGTCAACTTTATAGCTTGAAATTTAAGAATAACATTTCTTTAACAGAGAAAAAAATCCAGGAAGTTTTCAAAAAATTACGTGGATTAGTTTTCCACGGAAACAATTAAGTATGACTGGAAGTCTACAACGTCGCAGATGGAGATACATGATCTCAAACTTTATCAACATTGGTCACATTTATTCACAAGTTTAAAAAAATAATCAAGAAAAATAATTTTAAGAAAAAGAATGAACCTCCATATTTTTAAATTCTCACGGATTATTTTACATTACGATTACATACAGTATTTTTTAAAAATATTTTATCAACGAAGTTCATTCATTTTCTTTAAAAAAATGAAACAACACAGTTTCTAAAACTACGCCGAAATGCGTGTTTGCCGACTTCTGGATAGCGTCAAGAAAACAAGTAGCAAAGCCCGTGTTACCAATTTACGAGAATCACCACGGCTCATTTTGACAATACTGAAAAAAAAATTGAAGTTGATTTAACACTCTGGACGTAAAAAAAGTGTGCAAGAATATTCAAAATGCTGAACTACCAGCCACAGCAGTTGCTTTAGCAATGCCAAGATGTAAAACTAACTGCCGTAGCGCGTAATTTCGCATTTTGTGAGTTCTCGCACACTTTCCTTACACCCAGAATATTAAATGACCTTTGCTTTTTTTCGGTGAACGTGAGGGAACATGTAAAAGTTAAACTTACTATTGGTGCAGTACTGTTGGATGCCGCACTGGGCGCAGCGGTTGGGTGCGGCGAGACCGCAGTGACAACCCCCATCCGTGCAGCAGGCGCAATCATTCCCGGTTTTGTTGTACGGACAAGCGCAACCTGTAGATTTGCTCGTCCACAAATCCACAATACCTGCAACAGAGCCGAAAATACGGAATATTAATTTACCGAAATACTGAAAAAGTCGCCTGAACTCCTGAACTCTAGAAAAAATGGAATCCAACCAGTGGCGAGATGATCGATGATCGATATTTCTGCATTTGAAGCTATCATGAAGAATCGATCATTCAGGTGTTCGTTGCGAACACCTTGTTTATCGATCCTTTTACATAGATTTAAAAGGCAGATGAATCGATTATCGCAAAAGAACCAGATCGAAGAATCCTAGGTTTTGTTTGCCACTGAATTCAAAACATGAACACCGCGTTCTCGTACTCAATGTATCCAGTTGAATCGCTAGATTCATCCCGACTGCACAACACTTAGCGCATTTTTTTAGGATGCATCTTGATCTCTCTTGGTTTATTCTATTTTACCCTGAACAATACAAAGGAGAGGTTTCGATACGGGCCGTATTGGGCCCGTCCTGAATCCCCTTATCTGTGCGATTTTTTGTTCATTGGAGGTTCACATCTTAAAGAATGCAACATGATTTGGTCATTTTCGGTCTCTTTACGGGTCTAATAGTGACCTAAACATCGGTCGAAAGACCGATTTTTGCATAAAATGTGGATCATGCGGATTTTTGGTCGAATGCCGAAAAATCCGCATTTTCTGCCACAGTTAGCGTCCAGACCCATTTTAGACCCGTCTTAATAATCGTCATAGTGTCTTAATCATGATGTATTCCGTAAAGTACAGACATTTAATGAACAAAAAATCGTAAACGTGAGATAGGATGGGCCTAAATGTCCCCTATCGATACTCCCCTTCATCCAAATTTGAAATTAGGGTATTAAGATTACTCTTGAATAAATTTGATTAAAAGTTGACACTGAGAATTTTCCTCATAAAAATAAAGTTCGTATTACAGCCATTACTGTTAACAACGCGGGTACAATTTATCGTATTCTATAGTCGCAGTCGCCAGATTTTTCTTCGCTGAGCGCTGCTCACTTGGGTCAAGTTGGGTCATGCAACTATTCGAGCATGAGTGTAGCGCTAGGTTGCATACCATTCAATTGAAGGGGTTTTGAGAGCGCCGTGCTGCGCCGCGTCGCGTTGGTACACTGCGGCACGGAACTCGTACGTTACAACTACAGCACATGGACCATTCGATGTAAACGATAACGAGACGTATGTTCCAGTGAGTTCCTGATTTCCAGGGTTGTCGAATTTCAAACTATATTTTATGAGCCTTTCCGTCATTAGCATTAGCCTCCTTTGAGAACAGAATAATATAACTTATAAGAGTGTTATACATTTGTAATTTGAAAAATTTGTTTAGCAATATGTATCGTTTATCGTGTTTAAGGAATACTGTAATGTAATACAGTTTTTCAGAAAAAAAGGATAAAAATATAAAAGGAAAAAGAAAAAGAAAAGGAAAAGAAAGAAAGAATGTAAGAAAAAGAGACATAGAATAGATGAAAAGGCGATCAATATAAGGTGACAAATTTCATAAATCTGAGGCATCGCCAATGCTATTTTCCCTTTGCTAAGTTATGCCATTTAGCCCGAGCTTTTAAGACACAGAGAGTCAGCTTCACCTAAGAAAACTTTATTCCACCAGCGGAGGTAAGAACGCTATTAACCGTTCCACCGTTGACTTCCGCGGTGTAGGCAAATCAGCTGAAAAACCCCTCATTGTCGCTCGTTTCGTCACAGGAATCTTCAGAAAACGAGCACCATTTCGCAACCGCGGTGCCTTGATCTCGTGATTAAATTTTCTCCATAAATAAAAATCGGATCTTGTCCGAGTGCTTCTCGAGAGCGGATTCCTGAGTCTTCCCCGGCTCATGAGTTCACGGCTGTAGGGAAAAATATTTGCTTTTGACGGCATTTAAATAAATACCGCTGCAAATCTTCGCACTTGATTTTATTTACCTTTTCTCGCGCTTTCCCCTCTTTTTGTCGACTTTTTTTTTATTTAGCACGAGGCTTCACGACCTCGTAAATATTCGAGGCGGCAAGTTTTAGATTTATTCTACGGCGCATTTTACCCTTGTGTACACTGCTAAATTTCGCCCATTAAGGGTCAAAACTACTTGCAGTATATCTTTTTACGTTTAACTTGAAATTCAATTAGTGTTGGTATTTAATTCTTCTCCGGGGAATAAAATGCACAAAAACGCCGGCATTTTGCTTTCCCGTTTGACAGTTCTTCTTCGACATAGCGAAATTTTGATTTTCGCTTTTCACATTTTCCTCACAGCGTTTTGTGCCTATCCACGGCAAAATGGATTACTTTTGTGAGTTTTCATACGTTAATCTCGCTACAGTGGCTGATTTGTCAAGAACACATTCTATTGTTCTCATCTATTACAGAGGAAAGTTAACCGATAGCAGCAGGGTTAAAAAAAGACCACAAAAAGACGTTTCCTCCCAGAAAACCCCGCAATATTGGTAATTTTCCTGATGAGCTTTATTTGGACGTATCTCTGTCAAACGAAACTATGCGTATATATTCACATGGGTCTTAGGGCTCATGTCTGAATGTACATAATTTCGTTTGGCAGAAATACGTCCATTTTGTAGTAACTGTAAGTTTATTAAATTTTATAGAAGCGTCGTCTGAGCGGTCGATTTGGTATCATGAGGGGTACACTCTCTTACCTCTATGCGGCCCAACCCTTAGAGGACACCTCACGGGCCTCCGTGATATAATCTAAGAGAGCGGGCTCATATAGGAACTTTCTCGTATCGACAGCCCGAAAAATCATGAATATCGACCCGGCAGATCTTTAGGACAAACTGTGATATAAAATGAACATTGAAAATGTTTAAATGACAGAATTCACAACTCTATCACGTAATAATAAAACCTGGGTCATACTTCCAAAAATTGAATAAAGCAAGCTCATCTGGGGGCTATCACCTGTCGACCTGTCGACCACAAATATAATGAAAATTGGCCGATATAGTTGAATGTTAGAACGCCCTGTGACAAAAAAAATGAAAATTTAAAGCTTATATAGTCTTGATGATATGTACTTAATATTACTCATATTGTATTAGGTAAGAATTATACTGAAAATTCTTTTCCTTATTTTTCAGACTTGGTTGTCTGTAGAAAGGATTGATTTTTTTAAAACCATTTATGGAAAAGGAACGTAATTACTAGATACTATTTTTAACTGTAATAGCGCCTCCGGAAGCTCTGCGACATTCAACCCCTAAAGGTCCTACAGAAAATTGCACCCCCTCATTTCATGTCTCATGCCGCCCATTTACAATTAATCAGGGCGTAATTACTAAACCGCTAAATGGATCGCACTAAGCGGAAAGAACAAAGCCACATCAGTCATTGCCAAATTAAATTGGACATTTACTTATTTACATAAAAACGATTTTGGCGATTTTAGTGCAAGTTTCAGTGAATTTTCTGCTTAGTACGAGGAAAATTCCTCAAAATTTCCAAAGGAATCCGCAGAAACGTTCTCTCGTAAAAAAATTAAACTGTCTACTTAAATTTGGCAGTAGATGATGTGGTTTGGTTCCTTTCTGCTAAACTCGTCGCCGGCAGAATCATTTCCACCGATAATCGAACAAACACAAAAGATAACACGAATCTTCACAACCAACCGTTTGACACAACCGCAAGAATAGTCTCAAACTTACGTTGTTTTCCCTGAATCGTTAGTCGACCGCCTTCTTTTATCGCTACTCTCACCCGGAAAAGGTATCAAGATACCCCCACACTTACCCTACTTTTTGGCGGTGGCACGGCCAGAAAAGCGTAAGGTAACTTTTGGATGAACCTCGAACCGCACGTATATACATTCCGGACAGGGCTCAGCCGGCGATGCAGTTATGTCCGTTTGCCGACGAGCGTTTGTTCGAGAACGACCGTGCCGGTGAGAAACAAAAGCGGGGACCATTAATAGTGCGTTGCAGGTCTTTCGCGGCAGATAAATCTCCTAAAAGCCGGGGCGAGGGATTTTCTGGGCCAGCAAATATTTCATAGCGATTTTTCGTTTTCGTTCGCTCTTTGTCCCCGCCCCGGCCTGGCGCGGCGGAGAACTTTGACCCGACCGTTTCGGTAATGATTCTAATCACCCCGGTCTCCATCCTCACCAAATTTCCTACGATTATAATAGATTTTAAGCGTAGTTTAGTCTCCTTCGTTTCTAGGAACACCAAAAACACTATTTCGTGACCGTTACACCCAAGGAGATCTTTACAACGGAAAAATCGCGATTTTTTCACGATTTTTTCACGATTTTTTGACGATGAAATCAATAGGATCATCAACTTAGTCTCCTCTGTTTCTAAGAACACCAAAAACACTATTGCGTGACCGTCACACCCAAGGAGCTCTTTACAACGGAAAAATCGTGATTTGTCAAGATTTTTTGACGATAAAATCAATAGGATCATCAACTTAGTCTCTTCCGTTTCTAAGAACACCAAAAACACTATTTCGTGACCATTACACCCAAGTAGCTGTTTTCAACGGAGAAATTGCGATTTTTTGACGATAAAAGCGCTAGGATCATCAACTTCTGAGCGATTATCCTCGATTTTGTCGTAATTTCTTCTTCGTAAAATCGCGTGCGACGAATCAAAATTTTATCTAAATGTGTCTAAATTTATTACGATTTTCGGTTCGATAATATTGCAATAAATAACCGTCAATAGAATCGCGACTTTTTTGCAAAATGTGGTGAAATACAAACTATCGCAATTTTTAATCCGATAATATTGCAATAAATCGACGTTGATATATAGCCCGTAAATACGGCTTCCACGGCTAGAGGTTTTTTTTTTTTTTTTTTTTTTTTTTTTTTTTTTTTTTTTTTTTTTTNTTTTTTTTTTTTTTTTTTTTTTTTTGTGTACCTAAAATATATCCAAACATCTGGAATGTCCAAAAGCGGTAATATGGCCAAAAACAAAAATGCCAAAAAGTGACATGATTTGACAAAATGACAACAAAGTGAGCTTGAAAGCTTTACATCAATATCCATGGAGAT